CTGGCTGAGGAATTCTGGGAGTTGAAGTCCACGAGTCATAAAAGAGCCAAGGTTGCCTACCTCTGCTCTAGGCTGATTCTTCTTTTGACTCTCCTCCCCCCCTCCCCTCCCCTCCAGGCCCTGCCACTCCTTTTGCTACACAGATGAGTTAATTCTATTTTATTGTAAAGCTACATTGACGGAGTCTTGCAAGTCTGAAAGTCCATTGTCTTCCTCCCCCCCCACCCCAACCCAAACAACGAGGGAGGGTCTCTTCTGAGCCTCTTGCCCCCGCTCACTAATCCAGCTGTGGGCTAGGCCAGGGGTAGGCAACCTTGGCTCTTTTATGACTCGTGGACTTCAACGCCCAGAATTCCTGAGTCGGCATAGCCAAGGTTGCCTACCCCTGGGCCAGGCTCTCTCTTATCTGATCATTCCATTGACAGCATCTTTTTGCCCAATAGCCCAAGTCCAGTCTCTGACTCAGAGGGGACCATAGCAGCGTAATTGTTCAGGCAAGATATGGATTAGAGCAGGTGTCTTCAAACTTATCAACTTTAAAACTTGTGGACTTCAACTCCCAGAATTCCTCAGCCAGCCAGGGCTGGCTGAGGAATTCTGGGAGTTGAAGTCCACAAGTCTTAAAGTTGACAAATTTGAAGACCCCTAGATTAGAGTCAAGGAGATCCAGTTTCTTATCTGAGACTCTGGGCCAGTCCCTCTCAGCCCCAGAACCAGGGTGTGGTAGTATTGAATTTTTTGGACTAGAATTGGAGAGACACGAGTTCTGGTCCTCTCTCTACCTCGGGACCTCAAAGATGCTTTTTCAAGAAGCAAATGGACTTTTCTTGTTTTTCGTTGAAGACGTTTCCCTTCTCATCCAAGAAACTTCTTCAGCTCTGACTGGATGGTAAGGAACAGAAAGATTTATACTCCTTGCAGACAGCTGGTCATTTGCGTCCTTTTAGAGAGTCATTGAGGCCACTTGGAGTTTTGTCTGTGTCCTCAGGGTCACCTGAGCGGTGCAAATGGGTGTGGAGCCTTCTTGGAACTGCTGACAGGACTGGGTTGTGGAGCTGTGCCTTCTGCAGGATGTTTCCTGCCCTGTGTCCCTTCACCGCTGAACACAAACACAAGCTGTTGGGGATGAGTCTGTGTTGTAATGCATCGCAAACTGAAGCGCAGAGGGTCCCTGTAGTCTGCAATTTTTTCCCGGAAATCCATTCATGCTCCCGCACCATTCAAGTGCCTCTGTTGTGATTCCTAGCCAGCCAGTGGACCCGGCAGCTGAGTTGGAGGAATCGGAGGAGGAGGAGGGGCCTGGAGTGACATCAGAGTCAGAGGAAGACTCTGAGGAGCTCCAAGACTTACTGTCGGACGAGGAGCCTGGCCCCTCTACTCGCGCTCAGGCTGAGACACAGCTGTGCTGGGAGTCTGAGTTGGACAGTGATGAAGAACAGTTGGGACAAATCCAGGATGCACGAAAGCACAGGCAAGAGAAGCGAGTAGGACAGAGGAATGCAATAGGGTGGCTCCAAAGGCAAAGGAGAAGGCATTAGGAAGCCACGCCTTGGCTGAATTATAAAAGGGAAGGTGTGGGAGGTGCTGGTTGCCGAAGGCGACCGTTCGCGTTGAGGATCGAGTTTCAGTGAACTGTGTTTTGTTTGCTTTGGACATTGACTCAGGTCTGTGAATAATAAAAGGGGATTGGTTTTTCCTGCAGTTCCAGCCTGCTCGTTTGGAAGAGGGATTTCTCCTTGTGAGCATAACAAGGACTCACGTAGGCTGGGACAGAACAGCCTCCAAGTGGCCTCAACGACTCTCCAAAAGAAGGCAAATGACCAGCTGTCTGCAAGGAGTATAAATCCTTCCATTTCCCCCACCATCCAGTCAGAGCTGAAGAAGCTTCTTGGATGAGAAGCGAAACGTCTCCAAAGAAAAACAAGAAAGTCCGGTTGCCTCCTGAAAAATCACCTTTGGGACAACCACGACCCGGATGATGGAGAATCTCCACAGACACTTTACCGTGGGACTCTTTGGGCCAGCTCCTCCCTCTTAGACGCAGAGCCGGGCTGGGGGTTGTGGTGGATGGTGAGCATAATTGGGAAGGTCTGGACTAGAAGTGGAGAGATCCGGTATTCGTATTAATGATGCGCTTGGTGGTTAACTGGAGGAACTTGTGTTTTTGTTTTCAATTTTCCTGCCGAAGGTGAATTTGGGATTGATGTTTCTGTGGGGTTTTTTTGTTTTTTTTTGGGTGATTGCAGCCAGGGACGGGATTCAGAGTAACGGGGATGAGAACCCAGGTGAGGCGCCCTGCAGAGAGAGCAACAGGAAGGAGGCAGAAGGACATGCCCAACATCTGGATGATCCCAAGAGCCGAGAGCCGAAAGAAACAGCTGAGAAAAGAAAAGATCCAGCAGGTACTCTCATTTCCTTCTCTGGCTCTTTGTTAATTGGATTTTGTTTTAATCAGTTCCAAGGTTTCTGTTTTGTGTTCCTGGGGAACATCTCTCTCTCTCTCTCTCTCTCTCTCTCTCTCTCTCTTTCTCTTTCTCTTTCTCTTTCTCTTTCTTTCTCTGTCTGCTTCTCTCTCTCTCCCTCCCTCCCTCCCTCCCTCTCTCTCTCTCTCTGAATCTTTTTTCTCTTTCATTTTCAACATAAGTCGGGATCCATTTCTGCACAGTCCAAAGTTTTTCTTAATTATCTCTTCCCTCCGCTGGTAATTCTTCATCATTCCAACGTCGAGCAAATACAATTCTCGCTGCAGTTAATACATGTAACATTAAATATACACATTCGTTCTCATAATTTCCTACAATTATACCTAACAAAAATAATTCTGGCTTAAAATCTACATGGGTTTTTTTTTTATCATTTTCTCTAACCATATATGCATTTTTGACCAAAAGCTTTTGGCTTTTAGGGCATGCCCACCAAAGATGATCATATGTGCCTGGTTTTTGTCTACATTTCCAACAATTGCTAGACATATTGTTGAACAATTTTGCTAACCTCACAGGTGGTAAGTGTCATCTGTAGAACATTTTATATAGGTTTTCTTTGTACGCCCACCGCCTTTGTTATTTTAGAGTTTCTTTCCCAAAAATCTTGCCAGTTTTCTAACTCTATATTATGCCCAAAGTTTTTTGCCCATGTTATCATTGTTTCTTTAACTTGTTCCTCTTCCATCTTTAAACTTAACATATACTTGTGGGCTGTTCCTAAGGGTTGGAAAACCTGAGCTACTACTCATGAGGATTGCAGCATCCTGGGATCTTGTGGCTGCCATTTGTACGTTCCCAGTTGGCTTCCACTGCTTCTTGTTCTGCCCTCAGCTGCTCTGGAGAATAAATGGACCCCCTTCTTTCCCATGACAGCCCTTCAAGTATTGGAGGACTGCTATCATGTCTCCCTTAAACCTTCTCTTCATTAGGCTAAACATCCCTTGTTCCCTTAGCCCAGGGGTGGGGAATCTTGGCTCTTTTATGACATGAGGACTTCAACTCCCAGAATTCCTGAGCCAGCATGGGGAAAGATGGCCCTTTTATGATATGAGGACTTCAACTCCCAGAATTCCTGAGCCAGCATGGGGAAAGATGGCCCTTTGATGACTTGTGGACTTCAACTCCCAGAATTCCTGAGCCAGCATGGGGAACGATGTCCCTTTTATGACATGGGGACTTCATCTCCAGAGTTCCCGAGCCAGCATGAGGAACAATGGCCCTTTTATGACTTGTGGACTTCAATTCCCAGAATCCTTGAGCCAGCATTTGGAACGATGGCCTTTTTATGACTTGTGGATTTCAACTCCCAGAATTCCTGAGCCGGCATTTGGAGCGATGGCCTTTTTATGACTTGTGGACTTCATTTGGCTCAGGAATTCTGGGAGTTAAACTCCACAAGTCATAAAAAGGCTATCATTCCCCACTCCTGCTCTAGGGTATAGACTAGAGCTATATTATCACTTCCTGTGATCTCAATGATATCCTTGTTAACACACACACACACACACACACACAAACACACACACACAAACACACACACACACACCAGAAGGCACTGGATAGACCTGTCCAATAAAATAATCTGCAAAATCACACTTGCACGGCTGGGGTGGTCTTTGATCCGTTCGATGTCATCAACGAATGAACAGTGATGGGAAGGATCCGGGAATCGTCTTTTCGCGTAAGAAGCTTATTTTAGGAAGGTGGGGAAATAACGCAGCAACCAATTCAAGAGCTCAAAAGAAGTTTATTGAGAAAGGGAAGCCTTTTCGGCAGTGTGTTCCTTCAAAGAGCCAAGCAACTGGATGCTCCTTTGTGTCGGGTGTGTCGTTGAGAAAAGACAACTCTCTTAACGTTCGGTTTTTGTAGCACGTTTGGGAGCAGACAGTCAAAGAGGCAGCAAAGTCCCGGCTTCTTGTGGATGGAATTGAATGCCGAGTTAGCAGGCTGGGATAATGGAAGAGAGCTAAAGACATGGAAAGAAGGATCAACCTAAATCAGGACCATGGATAAAGCTTAAGAATTAACCCCAGTGTTTCTCAACCTTCGGCATTTTAAGATGTGTGGACTTCAACTCCCAGAATTCCCCAGCGTTGAAGTCCACACATCTTAAAATGCCAGAGGTTGAGAAACAGTGGGGTTAGATTATGTCGCTCAGAGCCGATGTTAATGTTGAGAGGTCTCGTACATCTAAGGGTAGATAAAGCTGACTGGATAAAAGTTGTGGGAGTTGGCCAGTTCTTAAAATCTTTTAAGATACACTATAGGGATCTGGAACTCCCCTTTTCTGAACCTCAGCCCTCAGGAGCCAGGCCAGTATGCTCAAGGGTGAGACATACTGGAAATTTCATTTGAACATCTGGAGGCTGAAACGGGCTTGAGTTCAACTCATTAGCTACCAGCCATGCCAAAATGCCTCAGAAAACCTGGAAGGAAACCTGGAGAGAAGGAATTCTGTTTCTTCCCTCGGAGGGGTTGATCCTCTTAGCCACCGCCGTTTTCCTCTTGGGAGATTCAGCTGTGACCTTCAGCGTACACGTTTCGGCCTGCGCAAATGTAAAACGAAAGGCCGATTCCCAGAATCTCAGAGAAGACGACGACAAAGGAGACGACGAAAACGGTGTTCGCGACTCTCTTGAACCGCTTTTGCACAAGCGTGCCGCATCCCTGTTTTGCCACGGGCCAATCATCCACCACCGATTTTTGGGAAACGGCGCTCAACCTGCAGACGCCCAGAGCCGGCTGGAAACTGGCTGGGTGGCTGCTACAAGAACACGGGTAGATTCCCTCTTGATCCTGGAAAAATGTGTTGTTTTTCCAATTTTCTGGCCCGGTCCAGCCACAACAAGACAGTTGGACCTGAACATAATCCCAGGCTATCGCTTTGTGCTGGTTGGCCCTGTCCATTGGGTTATAGTTCTCAATGAAGCCGAGGATGTTCTTGGTGAGCTTGTCTTCAATCTTCTTCTGTTGGAAGTTCATGAATAAGCTGGGGAAAAAGTGGAAGGCGACAATGAGGATCAGGAGGGGAATGTAGACGATCAAAACGAATCGCACGCCAAAGAAGAGTCCCAAGGTGCCCCATAAGCCGAGAAACATGGTGAAAGCGCCAACGGCGATGAAAATGTACAGCAGGCTTTGGAAAGAGTCGAACGCAGACTGCAGGAGGGAAATGTAGGCGCTCTTGGTGATCAAAACCCAGAGGCCTAAACTGAACATTGTAGCGCCCACAAGAAACAAAAGGACGTTGAAGAAGCAGAACAAGCACTTGAAGCAAGGGCAGCAGCAATTCGCCATCGTTGCCTTTTCACGGAACCCCTTGGTTCTCTTCAGAACTCAGAAGCTTCAGCATCAATGGAAAGAAACACGGCGACCAAATAGAATAGCTTGGCTGTGTTTCCAGGTGGGTCTAAACCATAGAAAAGCCATCCTAGACAATGATAGCATTCTGTCTTGAGGGCACTCTAGCTAAGTCCGATCTTTATGATCCATCCTTTAGACTTGAGCAGAAAACTCGGATGGCTGTTAGCTTCAGGGACAGCTCTAGCAACGAAGACTAGCATCTAGAGCAGGGGTGGGGAATGATGGCCCTTTTATCAATTGGGGACATCAACTGCCATGCTGGCTCAGGAATTCTGGGAGTTGAAGTCCACAAGTCATAAAAAAGGCCATCGTTCCCCACCCCTGCTCTAGGCTATAGACTAGAGTTATATTATCACTTCCGTTCGATGTGATCAACGAATGAACAGTGATGGGAAGGATTCAGCAATCGTCTTTTCGCGTAACAAGTTTATTTTAGGAAGGTGGGGAAATAACGCAGCAACCGGTTCAAGAGCTCGAAGGAAGTTTATTGAGAAAGGAAAGGCTTTTTGGCAATGTGTTCTTTCACAGAACCAAGCAACTGGATCCTCCCTTGTGTCAGGCGTGTCGTTGAGAAAAGACAACTCTCTTAATGTTCGGCTTTTATAGCATGTTTGGGAGGAGACAGTCAAAGAGGCAGCAAAGTCCCGGCTTCTTGTGGATGGAATTGAATGCCGAGTTAGCAGGCTGGGATAATGGAAGAGAGCTAAAGACATGGAAAGAAGGATCGTCCTAAATCAGGACCATGGATAAAGCTTAAGAATTAACCCCAGTGTTTCTCAACCTTCGGCATTTTAAGATGTGTGGACTTCAACTCCCAGAATTCCCCAGCGTTGAAGTCCACACATCTTAAAATGCCGGAGGTTGAGAAACAGTGGGTTAGATTATGTAGCTCAGAGCTGATGTTAATGTTGAGAGGTCTCATTTATCTAAGGGTAGATAAAGCTGACTGGATAAAAGTTGTGGGAGTTGGCCAGTTCTTAAAATCTTTTAAGATACACTATAGGGATCTGGAACTCCCCTTTTCTGAAGGGACCTCAGCCCTCATGAGCCAGGCCAGTATGCTCAAGGGTGAGACATACTGGAAATTTCATTTGAACATCTGGAGGCTCATATTTGGGGCTTGAGTTCAACTCATTAGCTACCAGCCATGCCAAAATCCCTCAGAAAACTTGGAAGAAAACCTGGAGAGAAGGAATTCTGTTTCTTTCCTCGGAGGGGTTGATCCTCTTAGCCACCGCCGTCTTCCTCTTGGGAGATTCAGCTGTGACCTTCAGCATACACGTTTCGGCCTGCGCAAATGTAAAACGAAAGGCCGATTCCCAGAATCTCAGAGAAGACGACGACGAAGGAGACAACGAAAACGGTGTTCGCGACTCTCTTGAACCGCTTTTGCACAAGCGTACCGCATCCCTGTTTTGTTACGGGCCAATCATCCACCACCGATTTTTGGGAAACGGCGCTCAACCTGCAGACGCCCAGGGCCGGCTGGAAACCGGCTGGGTGGCTGCTGCAAGAACACGGGTAGATTCCTACTTGATCCTGGAAAAATGTGTTGTTTTTCCAATTTTCTGGCCCGGTCCAGCCACAACAAGACAGTTGGACCTGCGCATAATCCCAGGCTATCTCTTTGTGCTGGTTGGCCCCGTCCATTGGGTTATAGTTCTGGATGAGGCCCAGGATGTTCTTGGTGAGCTTGTCTTCAATCCTCTTCTGTTGGAAGTTCATGAATAAGCCGGGGAAAAAGTGGAAGGCGACAGTGAAGATCAGGAGGGGGATGTAGATGCTCAAAACGAATTGCATGTCATAGAAGAGTCCCAGGCTGCCCCATAAGCCGAGAAACATGGTGAAAGCGCCGACAATGATGGAAATGTACACCAGGCTTTGGAAGGAGTCGAACATAATCTGCAGGAGGAAAATGTACGGGCTCTTGGTATTCAAAAGCCAGAGGCCTAAACTGAGCATTGTAGCGCCCACAAGAAACAAAAGGATGTTGAAGCAGCAGAACAAGCACTTGAGGCACGGCCAGCAATTCGCCATCGTTGCCTTCTCATGGAACCCCTTGGTTCTCTTCAGAACTCAGAAGCTTCAGCATCAATGGAAAGAAACATGGCGACCAAATAGAATAGCTTGGCTGTGTTTCCAGGTGGATCTAAACCATAGAAAAGCCATCCTAGACAATGATAGCATTGTGTCTTGAGGGCACTCTAGCTAAGTCCGATCTTTATGATCCATCCTTTAGACTTGAGCAGAAAACCCGGATGGCTGTTAGCTTCAGGAACGGCTCTAGCAACGAAGACTAGCATCTAGAGCAGGGGTGGGGAACGATGGCCCTTTTATCAGTTGTGGACGTCAACGCCCATGCCGGCTCAGGAATTCTGGGAGTTGAAGTCCACAAGTCACAAAGGGGGCATCTTTCCCCACCTCTGATCTAGAGCTTCCTAAACGGTGTCCTAGGCTTTTTGATTTCTTAACTTCAGTCAGAATATTTTCCCAGGTATTTGAACACCTTTTGAGTTCGTAATTCAGCTTTAAGCCTCTCTGTTAAGGTTTTATGGACGCCTTTGGTAGGTAGCTTTTGGTTTGATAACTCCTAAGGCAATGGTGGCGAACCTATGGCACGGGTGCCAGAGGCGGCACTCAGAGCCCTCTCTGTGGGCACGCACGCCGTCATCCCAGTCCTAGGCCTTCAGCTGGGTTTTATAAAACTTTTCGCTTTAGGCCTCCGCCGCCGTGTGCAAAAAAACCCCAGAAGGTTCAATCAGTCAATTTCAACTTTTCACGGGGAAAAAAAAAAGATCTTGCAAAGTTGGAATTGATTGATTGAACTTTTTAGTACCACCCAGTCTGCCTTTACCACCGCAGCGACGCCCACCCCATGGGCCACACCCACCCAATGGGCCACACCCACCCGGCACTCGACGATGCATAAGTGGGTTTTGGGTTGCAGTTTGGGCACTTGGTCTCTAAGTCACTGTCCTAAGGATTGCTGTTCAGCAGTGGAGAAAAGTTGTTAAAAACACACACTGTAAAATGAATTCTGGACTTTTATGCTATATGTAATCGCAATTCTAGGTCATTACAAATGCAAATGTGTCATTATTCTCTCCCCACCCCGGGGATTAGACTAGTCCTGATCCCTTTTGGCCTTTTATAGGACATTAAAAAAATAGCTTTGTCATCCTACCTGGGGCCCTGACAGTATGGACGAGGCTGTTTCATGGTGAATGTAGTATATCAGTATGTCACTGAATATGTGTATATTAGTGTTTTTCAACCTTGCCCGCTTTAAGATGGCTGAACTTCAATTCTTGGCTGGCTGGGGAATTCTGGGGGTTGAAACCCACCTATCCTAAAGTGACCAAGGTTGGGAAACAATGTATGTACGTTATGAATATTCTTGGCTGCTATTTTATATAGATAAATATATATAGGGTCTTTTTTATTCTCTTTTATTTTGGTTTTGTCTTTTTTTATTTATCCTATTTAGGAATTTTTAAATTGTTAGCCATCGAGAGTCACGTGTGCAAAATGGACGGCTGTATAAATTGATGAAATAAAAAAAATAGATCAAGATGATAATTAGATTATTTGACCCCAAGGGTCATCCATTCTGGAAGTTCTTCCCATCTCTCAGATTGGGTACTCAAATGACACAAGTTTACCTTAGACCAGGGGTAGGCAACCTTGACTCTTTTATGACTCGTGGACTTCAACTCCCAGAATTCCTGAGCCAGCCTGACTCAGCTTGGAAACCTCTCCCTTTCCCCTCAGCATGGCTGGCTCAGGAATTCTGGGAGTTGAAGTCCACAAGTCATAAAAGAGCCAAGGTTGACTACCCCTGCCTTAGACCAAGGGGTAGGCAACCTTGGCTCTTTTATGACTCGTGGACTTCAACTCCCAGAATTCCTGAGCCAGCATAGCTCAGCTTGGAAACCTCTCCCTTTCCCCTCAGCACGGCTGGCTCAGGAATCCTGGGAGTTGAAGTCCACGAGTCATAAAAAGAGCCCAGGTGGCCTACCCCTGCCTTAGACAAAAATGGCGCCAGTTATTGCATCTTCATTAACCAAAGTTGGTAACCCAAGAAAAAAAATATCTGGTGATCTTGTACAGCCGCACAGTTTCTGAAAGGAGTGCCTCCTTGACAGGCCCTTGAGGCGTGCTCCATCTCTAACCTGCCTTTGAGTGTAGCTGATGACCACAGAAAAATGGAAAACCGGCAAGCAGATGGGCTCTTTGTTTCCTCACCCGCCCACAAGCGCTCCCAAGCTTTTTTTTTCTATTTTCTGCACCTTCCATTTTTTTTCTTTTTTTAGCTTGTATTTTTTTATAATAATAATAATAATAATAATAATAATAATAATAATAATAATAATAATAATAATAATAATAATAATAATAATAATAATAATAATAATAATAA